ATTTAAAATTCTAATACCTAATACATAACAATATTGTAAAACTTATATAAATGATATTATATATAATTATTTAAATATATGTATATATATATATAACAGATCAAATCAGATATCTATTCCTAAACATATTAATATTTGTGATTTTCTTTGTTGTTTATGGATATTGCATTCTAGTATTTGATTTGCTTCTAGACTTAAGAATATTCAGATTTTTCGGTTCAAATCAAAACGAAAACCAAATCGAATAAAAATTTATACATATTTTGTCATGTCCTATCCGTAAAGAATAAAATATACATAATTAATTATGGATTTTGATTCGAACCGAAAAATCTGGATACTATGATTTTTATTAGAACTTTACATGTGAGTTTTATATCGGAAAAAATTGGAAAATTCATAGTGTGAACGCATTTATATAGAGTTTGGCTGAGAAGTTCTTTACACGTAACACGTCAAGTTTTTCATTCTCCAATCGATGTGAGGCTGACACATGTCCCTTAACGTGCATTCTTCTCTTTTAAGACCATGAGTATCGGGTGAAACCCAAAATAGTTTCTAAATTTTTTTTTTGTCTTATCTGATTTATAAAAAAAAAAGCTGAACCAATTGCGACTGCCACGTTTCCTGGGACCCGCAAAACAGTACAAGGATCACTCAAACATCCCTTAGAGCATGTACATTGGTGTTCTCCCCCAATGAGTTCTTAGCCTTTTTTTAATAATTTTTTTATACTTTTTGAATAGTTAAGGATCTTCATCCGTTTTTCAAGTCCAATGGTGTTCTCCAATCCGGAATCCTTATGAATAAAATAATATTTTTTTTTTAAAAAAAAATTTATTTATTAAATGATAAAAAAGGAAAATACAACAATATTTTATTAATCTTCATAACCAAATTTGTTCCAAATATTTTCTATTAAATCATTCTTCAATTGGTCATGGATACGTCGATCGCGAATATGAATCCGAACGCCACACATTTCGTCGATACTTGGAGGTGTGTACCTATTATAAGAAACATTCACCCGTGAAGTTCTTGTTACATCTCCTTCTTCAAATTCAGTTCGATCGTAATGAGTGTATCCATCTCGTTCATTTTCGACTATCATATTGTGAAATATGATGCATGTTCTCATTATCTTCCCTAGGTTTTCCTTCTCCCATGAAAGAGCCGGATTTTTCACAATCGCGAACCGAGCTTGCAATACTCCAAAAGCCCGCTCCACATCTTTTCGGGTTGCTTCTTGATGTTTAGCAAATAACTCTGCTTTCGCACTTTGAGGGAGTGAAATAGATTGGATAAATGTTGACCAGTTTGGATAGATACCGTCGGTGAGGTAGTACGCCAAATTATACTTGTGTCCGTTGACCACGTACTCTAACGTGGGAGCCCGACCATGAACAATGTCATCAAAAACAGGAGACCGATCGAGGATATTAATATCGTTTAAGGTACCTGGAAGACCAAAAAACGCGTGCCATATCCAAAGATCTTGTGAAGCAACAGCCTCCAAGACAATTGACGGTTTTCCTGACCCACGGGCGTACTGTCCTTTCCAAGAGGTTGGACAATTTTTCCACTTCCAATGCATACAGTCAATGCTTCCGACCATACCAGGAAACCCGCGGCTCTCTCCAATATCGAGTAGCCGCTGAAGATCTTCTCGTGTGGGTCTTCGTAGATACTCCTCGCCAAATAACTGGATTATTCCTTCAACGAAATGTCGCAGACAAGAGAGAGCCGTGCTTGAACCAAGTCGGAGATATTCATCAACCGCGTCAGCCGCGGAACCATAAGAAAGCATACGAATTGCTGCCGTACATTTTTGTAGTGCAGATAGACCGTACCTCCCGGTTGCATCTCTTCTTTGTTGAAAGAATGGAATGTTCTCCGAAAGGCGATGAACAATACGCATGAATAAGTCCTTGTTCATACGGAAACGGCGTCTGAATAAATGTGCTGGAAATACCGGATCTTCGCTGAAGTAGTCATTCCATAAACGGTCATGTCCCGTCTCGCGGTGTCGTTCTATATAAGCACGTTTCTTTGGGATAACGGATTGGGCCTCCACTATGTCGTTGCATGTTTCTTCGAAGATATCATCGATAATTTCATCCAATCTTTCATCTATTTCTTCGGATGAAGATGATGACATGTTCGTAATTCCTCCTTAAAAATAAATAAAAAACATTTAAGTTTTTGGAAATAAGTAAGAATAATCTTTAAATGTCAAATAAATATTAGTCTAAATTTTTTTTATTTCAAGTATCCATAAATGTCTAATAAATATTTTAGTCTTTTTTTCAAGTATCCTTAAATGTCAAATAAATATTAATTTTTTTTATTTCAAGTATCCATAATAAATGTCTAATAAATATTTTAGTCTTTTTTATTTCAAGTATCCTTAAATGTCAAATAAATATTAATTTTTTTTTAAATTTCAAGTATCCATAAATATTAGTCTATTTTTCAAGAATCCTTAAGTGTCTATTAAATATTAGTCTAATTTTTTTTATTTCAAGTATCCTTAAGTATTAGTCTATTTTTTCAAGAATCCTTAAGTGTCTATTAAATATTAGTCTAATTTTTTTTTATTTCAAGTATCCTTAAATAAAATTTGTAATTGTAACAGATTCAAGTGTTTGCATCTGAATGAATTATTTCAAGTCTATATTTCAAGTGTTTGCATCTGAATGAATTGTTCTTTACTACAAGTGTTTGCATGTTGTCGTTTAAAATAGATGCAAGAACTTGAGACATGTTACTCTTGTCCTACACATTTCTGGTTAAAATAGATGCAAATACTTTCTAAAACTTACAAGTTACAACCCATCACTACACATGTTAACAATCGAAACAAGCAAGTTACTAGTTAAAATAGAAGTGGTACCTAAACAAGCAAGTTATTACGACAAAGAGAAGAGCCAGAAGTGGTACCTAAACACAAGTGATACAAAAGGGAATGCTCGGAGATGCAACAACTTGAGCCAAAGTGAAACAACAACGTACTTGTACCCAAAATACAACCTCACCGAGCAAAACAAGAACGGGAGGCAATGTGATAAAAGAGGATACAAATTTTTAAAGCCGAGATAGATAACTAGAGACAACCCATCACTACTACTTATACTACATAAAGTTAAACAGTTGAGCCCGTGACTTCTTCACCTTTGTGCTAAAGACCAAACGACTTTAACAACTTCAAATCCACCCGTGACTTCCTTCACATGGCTACTGCTGTACCTGATACAACTCAGCACAAACAAGATAAAAGAGTTAGTTTTAAAGAATAATTGTAANCTAGAGACAACCCATCACTACTACTTATACTACATAAAGTTAAACAGTTGAGCCCGTGACTTCTTCACCTTTGTGCTAAAGACCAAACGACTTTAACAACTTCAAATCCACCCGTGACTTCCTTCACATGGCTACTGCTGTACCTGATACAACTCAGCACAAACAAGATAAAAGAGTTAGTTTTAAAGAATAATTGTAACAACATGTAACTAGAAACACGTTTAAACTGAGACATAGAAACTACATATGTAACTAGAAGGAATCCTAAACTAAAACTCATACCTAAACTAAGCACATATCTAAAACTCATACCTAAACTCATATCATCTGAGACATAAGCTTAAATTTAAGAGTTGTTTCCATCTCATTAAGTGGCTCTTTTTGGGCGAGTAGCCGCTCAAGAAGTTTCTTGTTTTGGATCTTCTCTTTCATTTCGAAGATGGAGTGTAACTGAGACAGTGACTCTTCTCGACCACTCTTCTTCTTCTTTGTAGCAGCTTTAGCAGCTTTCACACCCATGGGACGAGCCTCTGATTGTCCCACTTCATCTTCTTCTGCTCTATCCAGGTCCACCGCTTTGCGCTTTTCCTTAGAAAGATAGGTAGAGGCCCATTTCTGGTCGTGCCTCAAATCCCTCCACGCGTGTTCCATGCTAAACCTCTGCTTGTACTGATTGTTTAAGTTGGTTAAGGCAGTACTCATCAGATCATCATCGCTCTGACCACTCCTCTCATCCCTCAGAACCGCGTCATAGACTCCAACAAATTTACACACTTGCTCATTAATCCTTGCCCACCTCTGCTTGCACGGACCAAGCTCTCTAGGTGTTGTTCCTACCAATTGAGGGCTTGCGTTGTAGAATTCAACAATTCTCTTCCAAAACGCAGCACCTTTCTGCTCATTGCCAACCACCGCATCTTTGCTGGTGTTAAGCCACGCACTGATAAGAATTCTATCCTCCTTCGTGGTCCACTTCCTCCTCTCCTTCACACCAGAGTCGACACTTGGAGACGCATCAGGACCTTGGCTACCGAAGCAAAAAGGTTCGGGTGAATCAAGGTCCACGGCTGATTGGCTTTGACTAAAGAGAAGGTTAACATAGCTAGAGTTGTTATCCATGTTTAGAGACTCGGTTGTGTCACTCTAATAGCAACACAACGACTTAAGTAGGTTAACTTAGACGGAAAACAATTAAAGATAATAAAAACGAAGTAGTTTGGAAGATAGAAAGCTCAATAGTTGCATTAAACACCGATCAAATCACCCTAGAACCCTATTCTAAAGCTGTAAAACATTAAAAACAATCACATCTGGGCCGGTTGGAAACAACTACTCTTCTCTAATAAAGACAAGTTAACTACTCACTAGTAATAACTAGTTGCGTCTAAAGTTAACTAGTAACTAGTAGTAACTAGTAACTAGTTAACTAACTAGTGGTGATTTACGGTCACAACATTTATCACATTTGGTTTTCATAAAATAAGTAGTGAGTTGATGATATGAACTAAACTTAATATTAAGATGATGATATGATAAGGATGTTTTACCCAAATTTATTCTTATAGATTATATTTTTGAGTTTAATACGTATAGATTATATTTTTGAGTTTACTATAGTATATCATTTTGAATTTTCTTAATACGTATAGATTATATTTTTTAAACAAAATAGAATGCTGAAATCAAAGTTGTAGTGTTTATTTCTTTGCACCTCTTCCTGCAAAAACATGACATCAAAGAGTCAAAAGTCTTACCTAAATAGCATGAAGAACAACAAAAAGCACAATAGATATGCTTACCAGTCACACACATAACCGCCAAACCTATACAAGCTAATACGGACACCATTACACAAACGGTCTTTAGCTCTCGAACGTTCTTCCTAAGCTCACAGACTGTGTTCTGTACCTTGACCAGCTTCTCCTCCGCCTGAAAACCTTGATCCTTAAGGTGCCTCAGTTGTCTCTCAATCTCACTCATCTCCTCCGTGACTGCCACATCCCACCACTTCCAAATGTGGCAGTCACCGTCGTCCACATTGTCGCAGGTGATGTACCGTCTCCCTGGATCTTTGCGCGTGTAGGATGTAGCAACAGCAGGCTCACCACCACAGTAGCATCTCCTAGGGATTCCGGAATCAGCCTCATGTTGAGATGTGTACTGAACCGGNATCTTTGCGCGTGTAGGATGTAGCAACAGCAGGCTCACCACCACAGTAGCATCTCCTAGGGATTCCGGAATCAGCCTCATGTTGAGATGTGTACTGAACCGGGTCAGGAGTGTAGGTACTCTCAGCTTCATCCGCGTAGAGTTGAGCTTCTTCTACAAGCAGTGCAGTCATGCCAAACTCTGATGATGAGGAAGGCTGATTATAAGAATAATCTTGTCCCATGAGTTAACCTGAAAAACAATCATGTACGAGTAGTTAATAAGGATTATGAATCTAAAGAAACAGAACAATCACAAACACAGTTCAATACAGAGACAACAACAAACACATTTCATTACAAGAAAATCTATTAACCGTAAAGAACATGAGAGAAGATGAGAGAAGATCGGAGTGAAACAACTAGGGATTTTGAAAACGTAAAGAAGATCAAAACGATACAATCGGAGAAGATTGATTGTAAATCCCCAAATCCCCAAATCCTTCGAAACCCCAAATCCCCAAATCCTTCGATACAATCGGAGAAGATTGATTGTAAAGAACATGAGAACGATACAATCGAACCGTAAATCACCAAATCCCCAAATCCTTCGAAACCCCAAATCCCCAAATCCCCAAATCCTTCGAAACCCTAATTTTCAAAACACAAATCCATTGAAAACGATTCAATTGAACCGTAAATTGACAAGAAAACAACGACGAACCTAATCTAAAACCATAAATCGACAAGATAACGGATCGATTTACCTTGTTCTCCTCTCGAGAGAAATTTTTTTTTTCTGGTTCTCGGTCGAAATGAACTTTTCTTCGACAATACCGAAAGCGTAAAAATGATCGACGAACCAACAGTTGCCACGTAGCTAAAGATCAACGAAATAAAATCCTTATTTTCGTTCTGATCCTTAGTGATTTAGGGAAAAATATTAATAAAAAAGGCTTCATGCATCGGGGGAAGGGTTAAGGACTCTCATGTTCCCCCCGTTGAATATGGTCTTATATATTAATCCTGAAGCATTCATAAATGCACAACCTTTGAGAGCATGCTTACGTGTCAAGCTCACAGAGCTTCTCAGCTTTAATTTTTTAATGGACCAACTTTGCTACGAAGGAAATAATATAACATTTAATTTCTTGCATTTAAGACTATAATATATAGACATTTTTTAAGGGACCAACTCTGCTAGATATAAAACAATATATTTTATTTCCTTAAATAAAAGCTACGGAATTACCTAATATGATTAACATATATATGTAATTAATGATTATGAATAATACATATTTTTGTAACCTCTCTTTTTTGTTTAATTTTAAATTATTAAAATAAATTAAACAATCACATTTAAATATATAACAAAAAATTAATTTTTTTTTCTTATAGGTTATATTTTTAATTTTTTTAAAATGACCATAAATAACTAAAAAATAGTAAAATCTCACATTGAAAATTTTATGATCAATGGTTTAACTTTGTTTTTTTCCAAAAGAAGATAAAAATTATCATAAATCGTACGAATATGAAGTATCATTAGTAGATATTCATACTATAAATATGTTAATTTAAAAATTTCAGTGAAAAGGTTTGAGGTTAGTAGATACAAATTATAGTTTTCGAAAGATTTTGTAGTTTGTTTTATTTTCTTCTTTTTTAAAAAACTTTTAGTTTGTTTAGATAATTTAACTAATTTTAAATTAGATTTATTAATAGTTTAAATATTTTGATTTTTTTGTCAATTTTTAATGTTTAACAAATATTTTTTGGGATGATTTCAGATATTGGTTACAATCCAATCCAAACTGAATTGAAAAAATCAAATCGAATCCAATTCGATAATTAGTAAAATTCAAATAAGATTTATGAGAATAATACCAAAATCTGAAAATACGTGTCAATCAAACTAAAACCGACGAAGTCCCAAACGTCCAGACCTATGATGATTTAAGATACCAACATTTGTATTCATCATTTTATAATCGATAAATAATGTAGTATTGCAAAATGTTAAAAACCATTTAATGAATAAATATTAGTATAAAAATTTCATCTCGCGCATGCGCGCGGGTTATCATCTAGTGGATCCTTAATTGGGGTGTTTGGTTACTGACTTTTCATGTTTTGTGGTCCTCCCCACCTTAAAAACAGCTAAAATCCCCCCGATGCACATGCTGTAATATATAAGGGATATACTTTTTTTTTGCCTTCGGGCAATAAACTCTTTAGAACACCTCCAATGGTATTATCCACCATTGGAGTCCTTAGGATTAGATTAGGAAAAAAGTTTCTCAGCTACACGAAGCTTACACTAATATGGTGGAAACCATCCAATGTATAAAAATGTGTCAAAAACTACACGAAGTATATGTTAATACATGCCACATGTACGAAGTAAATGATATTATGGTGGCAACATCACAATCGGATTTAATTGTTCTTAAGCTAAGTTAATGGGGTCAATCCGTAATTTATGAAACTTAATAAACTTAATTGATTTTAATTATTAAAGTTAATAAAATTAATAAACTTAATAAACATAATATTTTTTANTAAGCTAAGTTAATGGGGTCAATCCGTAATTTATGAAACTTAATAAACTTAATTGATTTTAATTATTAAAGTTAATAAAATTAATAAACTTAATAAACATAATATTTTTTAAAACTTAATAAAATTAATAAACTTAATAAACTTAATATTTTTTGTTAAACTTAATAAATTTATTAAACTTAATAAATTTATTAAACTTAATAAAATTATTAAACTTCATAAACTTAATAAGCTTAACAAACTTAATAACTCATAAACTTAATAAGTTATTAAACTTAATATACTTAACAAACTTAATAAACTTAATGATTTATTAAGTTTAATACATCTTATTAAGTTTAATAAATCTTATTAAGTTTATAAAGCTTATTAAATTTTTAAAAATTATTATGTTTAATAAGCTAGAATCCTAAAACTAATACACAAAATAATTTAATAAATTTATTAAGTTTAATAAGTTTAATAGTTTAATAAATTTATTAAATTATTATGTTTATTAAGTTTGCTAAGTATATTAAGTTTAATAACTTATTAAGTTTATAAGTTATTAAGTTTGTTAAGTTTATTAAGTTTATGAAGTTTAATAATTTTATTAAGTTTAATAATTTTTAAGTTTTTTTAAAAATATTATGTATATTATGTTTATTAATTTTATCAAATTTAAAATTATTAAATTAATAAATTGTATTAAACTTAATAAGATTATTAAACTTAATAAATCATTAAGTTTATTAAGTTTGTTAAGTATATTAAGTTTAATAACTTATTAAGTTTATGAGTTATTAAGTTTGTTAAGCTTATTAAGTTTATGAAGTTTAATAATTTTATTAAGTTTAATAAATTTATTAAGTTTAATAAATTTATTAAGTTTAACAAAAAATATTAAGTTTATTAAGTTTATTAATTTTATTAAGTTTTTAAAAATATTATGTTTATTAAGTTTATTAAGTTTCATAAATTACGGATTGACCCCATTAACTTAGCTTAAGAACAATTAAATCCGATTGTGATGTTGCCACCATAATATCATTTACTTCGTACATGTGGCATGTATTAACATATACTTCGTGTAGTTCTTGACACATTTTTATACATTGGATGGTTTCCACCATATTAGTGTAAACTTCGTGTAGNATAAATTACGGATTGACCCCATTAACTTAGCTTAAGAACAATTAAATCCGATTGTGATGTTGCCACCATAATATCATTTACTTCGTACATGTGGCATGTATTAACATATACTTCGTGTAGTTCTTGACACATTTTTATACATTGGATGGTTTCCACCATATTAGTGTAAACTTCGTGTAGCTGAGAAACTTTTTTCCATTAGATTAATATCTTTTATTTTTTGGAGAATAGTTAAGGATCCTAATGAGAAATGTATCTTCAATGGTGTTTCTATTATGGAATCCTTAGATATTAAAAATAATAAAATTGTAAAACATGTAAATTTAAAATTTTGACTTGGATGATTAATAGCTGAGAAACAAAACAAAAGAAGTAGGAGAAATAAAGACGGGTACAAACTCTGGTTAAGTTGCCATCATCCGCAAGTGTGGTAACCATGCGAGTCAAAGACACTTTGATGATTGAAGTAACCTTCTTGTAGCAGATCTGCACATTCATAACATCACCTCCTTCGAACTTCTCCGCTCCACATAGGATCAAATCTCTGAGTCCCACATAACGTGATCCACCAGCACCTGATGGGTCAACGTAAACTCCCTGGCGCCACACAACAAGAAACAAGAATACATCAAAACTCTATTCATCAACTAATCATAGACAATCTCAGGACTGAACACAACAAGCTTAGCTCCAATCGGTTGCTCCTGGACAACTTAACAACCTCCTCAAGATTCTTAACCTCAATCACCTCCCCTCTCATGGGAACACGAGGCATGAATGCAGCAAACGCAGGAACATGGGAGACACATCCCAAATGCCCCAACTCTCTCTCTTCGGTATCCTCGTTGCGCTAAGGAGATTAGCTGCTACTGTAGCAGCTCTCTCAGCTGAATCTACTAAAACGAATCCAAAGTAACTATCACGCAAAAAAAAAAAAAACAAATCACAGTTAGTTCATTTGAAAGTTACCATGCTCTTCTTTGGCAGCCATTGATCGTTGGCAATCTGGGTGGCAGTGTTGAGACATCTTCTGCAATGACAAAAAAAAACAAACTTGAGTACAAAATAATGTTCCCATAACAGATGCTCAAACTAAAGCGAACTAGTTTTCCGAAAGGAGTTTCTTTTAAGTATAAAATTTGTTCCTTTCCATCAGATTCAAACACAAAGAAGACATTCATAAAGAAGATATCAAAGAAAGAGCAGCAAAACACAAAGGCATTCATAACTATCAAACCAATTAAACTACATGAATTCATTTACTACACATTTATATGTTCGAAATTGAAGTTAGATGATTTTGCCTCAACTCAAAACCCCTAAAGGTTATCTCTAATATCCGTAAGAACACAAGTACTACTTTTAAAAGTGTATAATAAATCCATATACATGAATCTATTATATGTTTCCAGTTTCTGAATCCGATAAGTTTTTGTAGAAACAATACTAACCTTCAAATCAATTAACAAGACAATCATAAACCCTTAATCGAGTCGAAAACAACAGAGAACCGAATCGACATCAAGAGAATAGCAAACCCAGAGGAAAACCCTATTTCGAAAAAAATCCCCAAATCGATTTCAAGCCCTAAAACTAGTTATACCCACTATCGAACCTTAAAAACTCATGAAGTCAACCTAAAATCATCTCCAAATGCAAAATAAAGAAGTGAAACACATCGATTTACCTTCGAGATCGAGATTCCAAATCGCCTATCCTATCGCTAGAGAGTTTTTTTTTTTTTTTTTGTCGAAGAAGAATGAAATTTTTTTCTCGCGAGGACACCTACCCTTTCCCGAAAGCCACGTCATTAAGGATTGAATCCTTAAACCCCTTATAAGTTAAGGATTAATCCTTACCGTAACAAAACTAAAAAACATTATAATAATGTCATTTGCCTATGTTTAAGTGCTAAGGACTTCTAATTAACCCGCGTTGCAGATTGTCTTAGGCACGCCTCTGCATATGTTGTATCAATGAAAACAGAGTATATCAAAGCAAACATGAACTATATAAGAAAGGTTAATAATTTTGATATATTAAAGACCCAAATGACTCAAACAAAAGCATAAATTTTGATATCTCAAAGACCCAAAAGAGTCAAACAATTTGTATAAAGTTTGAAATTTAAAGTCTGAAAAGAGGTTTAGCGCAAACATGAAACTTTTTGATTAATATAAAACTCTTCATGGATTTTGGTTTCTCAAAGATTAAACAATCAGAGAGAGAGAGAGAGAGAGAGAGAGAGAGAGAGAGAGAGAGAGAGAGAGTCTCTCATAGATATTTACACAGCATCCGTAGATACAATACATACATATACGATAATACGATATACAGATAACATAATTTCATATTAAAAAAAATTCTTGGTGTCAGATATTCGTTATTCAAGCGTTTTGAGCAGTCAAGAAGGTATTAAAATCATCCCTAGCCTGACGCAATCGTGGGCTGATACAAGATCGCGGCGAAGTAGGGCACGAGACTGAAGAAGAGTCTGAAAATCTAACACGGCGTAGTGGTGAAGTCTCAGCCGATCGCTGGTGATCTCTTCCCGACAACCGTGAACTCCTTGTCTTTAAAACACTTCTCAAAGCCATAGTCTCTGTTTCTCTATCGAACAAGAAACCAGAAGTCACTGGTTCTTGCACATCTCTCCCTCCGTTTCCGCGGCTGTTGCACTTCATCATCTCCACCGGGAAATCAAAATACATACGACCGTGATCATGCGTTAGGGCCGTGGTTGATGCCCAAGAACTGCATTCGAACTTCTCCAGCGAAGCGCGTATGGAAACAGTGGTGTAGGTGAAGGAAGACGCACTCATCATCTTTTTCTCCATCGAATCTCGGCCTCTGGAAGAAGATCTAACTGGTTTGTGTTTCCCGAATCCAGGTAATGTCATGCAGAAGACTTTGCATTTGAAATCTTCTTCCTTGTAGACTTTCATCTCTTCCGAGTAACGAGATTTCCTCATAAAATGGAATGCTTCTTGGCGGCCAAGTTTCTTCTGGATTCTCATCGGCTCAGGGAGCATAGGAAGCGGAACGGCTGAGTCTATGGGCGGAGGCATTGCCGGCGGCAACACAATTCTGAAGCTGTCGTCTCTTGCCGAAGAACCGGTTGATTTCTCGCTCTCCAGAATTGCCTTATTCACCAAGAAATTAAAATTAGGGTTAGGGTTTTCTCCGGAGAAAACCGTGAAACCCTTCCACTCGTTTTCTAAACCATCCTCAAAAGCTAGCATTGCCGGAGGAGGCATTAACTAGGTTTGTGAACAACAACAGAAAGGTGAGCTTCGGTCTTTTGGAGATGGGTTTGGTAATTTTCCGGGTAAAAATATGCAGAGGATAGAGATATAAATAGTAGGGGGAAAAATGCAGAGAAAATGGGAAGCACGTTCATGGCCGCGTGGAGAAAGTAGTGAATTACATGTTTGTCGGTTCTGTTTTCTGACTTAAGATTTTGACATGCGGTTACTATCAGTATCATTTTACACGTGTGTGCATTTGTGCATAGATGCGAGGATCTTGAAATAAAATGAGGAATTAAAAATAAAAGTAAAGTATTTGACCTTTCAATTTTAGGATGTTTGATGGAGACAGATAAAATGGTTTGCACGTAGTTCTGACCTGATCCTTCGAGTTTTTGAGTGCGACTGATGGCCGTCGAAAAGAGTTCATCTACTTACTCATAAAATTCCAAGATAAGTAAATACTACTTCTTTTGATTATTTGGAATATTAAACGACTAAACAGCTATGTGTTTCTTGAATCAAGGAAATCCAATTAGATTAGTATATTTACATAAAACAATAGAAATCCAAAAAATATAACTAGAACAACTTAAAATAGGAAATGCTGAAAGAAAGATATAACTGACCATTTGCCTACATCAACTAAGCGTAAACATCTGATATAGATCCGGAATCTAAACCAGAAACGATACATGATCTAAAATCGCACCAAAAATTTATAAATACCTAATTAAGTCTAAAATTCTTCTATCCTAACAAATCAATCCGGACAAAACCAGACCCGAAACCCAAGTATACTTGATTTGATAAGAGCTGGTTCAAACCTGATCTAAAAACATGAATATCCAAGATTATGATTCCATATTTTATTTTTTATTTAAAATTTATGATCCAGTTCATGTAATTTTTTTTGCAGTCTTCATTATTATTATTTTAACATAATAATTTGAAACTTTAAATGTCAAATTTAAAGCTTAAATGTTCAGTATTCATCACTATTAGTAATTTATTTAGCAAAAATTTAGATAAATATATTGAATTTTGACTAAATTTTGATGGGGTTCCAATATTTTGGGTGTTTTCAAAGTCCTAAGAGCATCTCCAATGTATTACTCCATTTTCTACTCTAAAATGGAGTAACTCTAAAATGCAGTTGAGTTTTACTCCAATGTATTACTCCATTTTCTACTCCAAAATAATATTTTTAATATTATATTTATTTCAAAATTAGGAATATCACCTTTCATTTATACTATTTGCAGAACAGTCCATTTTAAATTTATAGCATTTCTATTAAATAGAATATTAATCACAATTAAATTTTTATTATATAAATAAAACTACTCAACAAGGTTTTAAAAGAATACATTTAATACATTAAAAATTACATTATATAGTTTAAACACAATAATACATCAATTCTAAATTATTCATTAGAATTATAATAATTTTCTCACAAATGATCAACTAATACATTTCGAAGTAAAAAATGAGCTTCTTTATCTTTGATTTCTCTGAAATGGGAAAGAAACTTTTGGAACCTCACATTATTATTTTCTTCAATTTTCCTTGACAGGACTTCTCTTTCAACTTCAATTGGCACCTCGAGATCACAATCATCTTCTATTATCATGTTATGTAAGAATTTAATAATATTTTATCGGATTATTTTAATAATTTTAATGGATCCGAAAATGATTTATCGGATTATTAAGCAATTATATTTGTTGTAAGTTTTATTTTATGTTATTTCTTTTGTATGGTGCTTATCTTTCNTACTTATTTATAATAATATTTTTATTAAAGACGAGGCTATTTATATAATTAAGAAATATTAACAGTAAATTTTCTAATATATAGTAAAATAATATTAATATACTTATCTATAATAATATTTTATTAAAAATGAGGCTATTTATATAATTAAGAAATATAACAGTAAATTTTATAATATATATAGTACTTATTTATAATAGTATTTTATTAAAAATGAAACATATATAAATGTGGAGGACTATTTGATAAATAAAAAAGTTCAACTCCATTTTGGAGTAATGAGTTGGTTTACTCCATATTTGGAGTAATCATGTTTGTTACTCCATTTTGGAGTGAGTTTTGGAGTAGGGTTGGAGATGATTTTACTGCAAAATGGAATTTGGAGTGGGTTTTGGAGTGGGGTTGGAGATGCTCTAAGTACTCAAAACGACACTACTTGTTATTATATTCTACAGGTATTTTAAATATAGATTTGAAACGATCGAGACCCAAAAAAAGATCTGAATCTAAAGTTGGAAAATTCCAAATACCTAAATGAATCCAAATATATAAGATCCAAAGATCATGTATACAAACACTACAAGAAAACAATTTTTTACGAGGGAGATATTCCTTGTAAAGTCGTTGTAATAGAGGTGTTACGATGAATTTACAAGGAACAACGTTTCGTTGTTAAACGCCCATCGTAATGAGCTATTCGCGTAATTGCCTAGTTAATTTACAACGAACAGGTGTCGTCATAAAAAAGAAGTAAGAGGTTCGTCGTAAACGACTCGTTACATTTCGTCTTAAAGACCTCATTACCACTCGTCGTAAAGTCATCGTTACTTGTCGTCGTAAAGTCATCGTTACATGTCGTCCAAAAGTAGTGGTTACGCATATGTAAATATTACGAGGAATTTACGTATCGTCGACGTAAATTCGATGTAGTTGTTTACGACGAATTATCATGTCTGTCGATGTAAATTCATTTGTAATACTTTTACATCGACTTTACTTTGATAAATATAATATTGATAAATACGAAATATTATATTGATAAATATTCGAAATATAAATATATATTACAAAACTAAATATTTAATTTTTATAATTATTAAAAAAACCATAATATAAAAGTCATAAAATAATATTTAAATTTATATTACAAAAAGGAAACAAAATAAAAAAAATTACTAAACGTTATTTGGGTCGAAGTAGTCATGGCTGGTGTCACATTAAACGCCTGCAACATATTTGGATTTCCCACCACAAAGAGGTGAAGAAGATCCTCAAGTGAATGCAAGCGAGCCTTCTGAGAATTCATTTGAGACCGCATCTGAGAAGTCTCCTCATCCTGTCTCGTAACATATTACGAAGTCACTCTTGGGACTTCATTGACTGAGCATATTCCCAAGACCCGTCCCTTCTTCCTAGGAGCCACCTTTACCAAAAAATATATATACATTATTAATATTTCATTATATTCTATAAAAGAATATAAATAAATTAAAATTTATTTTAAAATTTACCTCTTCAAAAATACGGTCGACTTCTTCTATAGTCAATTTGACTGGTAATCCATCAGGAGCCTCTTGGGTTAACTGTATCTCCCGCTCTTCAACCCGAGCAGCAACATCGTTATAGAGTTTCTCCGATGCTGGATCAACAAAAACTCCATCTGATGTGGCGTGAGTCATCTTAAAAAGAAATTTAGTTAATAAATAAACTAAAAGAATTAAATTAAACATTTAAAATTAAACTTAGAGCATCTAAACGGATCCCGGCGTGCGGTTTTTGCCCGGTTCTATGAAGCATTAGGTCGTTACTGTTTTTGTCCTTTGTTCTCCGGCTTGTAGAGCACTTGGTCGACTTCTTGACCGACTCAGGATGGCTCCAAAAGGCGATGAGGCCATCCCATACATGCTTCGAGATCTCGGTAGGCTTCGCTTTATAACTGTGGAATTCCTACTTGTCCTTCCAATCCGAGACGGTGTTGGCAAGACGGAGTTTTGCCTTTGCTTCAAATCTTGCCTTCACCTTCTCGGTGAGCGATATGTACCAGTGCCACTTTTGCTGAAAAAAGTTTGTTTTTATTCCATATTAAAATAAATAATGTAATATTTAATAATTAAAATTTTGAAAATTACTTACCGCAAACATTTTGAACCACGTTCTCCTAACGTGTTGTGGAGTCATCGTACAGTTTGAATGGACCTCAAGAAAATAGCATTTTATCGTGTCAGAAACACTCCGACTGACACGATTGTTGGTTTCAAACCTGAAAATCATACCAATTTATTAGAAAAATATCTAATAAAAATGTATATAAAAAAACTTACCAAAAAGTGCTGCGCGGTCAATCAGAATCAATAATTTCTAACCCCTCCCGGCCCGATTGGCAAAGAAGATCCTCCACAGTATATGTGGCGTAAGGTGCAGATGGTGGTACCCACATATCTGGATGAAGCTGCTCAGCATCAGCGGGTTCATATGGACACTACAAGAAAAATGGGCTTTGATAGCAATGAAAGATAACGTTTTTTGCATTTCTGCTATGGTTGACATACGCGTTAGTTTTAGATAGCGTTTGTATATTTAGAAACACTATGATAGAATTGTATATTTAAAAATGCTATGATAGCCTATTTTTAGTAGCACATTATTAAAAACGCTATCTTTGACTTTTTAAATCTCTAAACCCTAAACAAGTTTTTAAACCCTAAACTTTAAACGTAACTTCAAAATCTAACTATTTTAATATCAAATCTTAAACTTAACATCAAATATTAAATATAAACTCAAACACTATTTCTTTTTCAATAATTAATCTTAAATCCTAATACGCTAAACCTTTAACCCTCAAACCATATACTCAAATCTTATTCTAAACTCATAACTTTAAATCTAAAACCTAAATTCAATATAAAATAAACTTAAATTTAATTCTTCAAATAAATTCAAATTTATTTTTGAATTTTAACTTAAAATCATAACCATGAACTCTAAACTTTATATACTCAAATCTTATATATCATAATAAACCTCTAACCTTCAATTTACAAATTTAATTATTAAACTGAATCACAAATTACAAATCTAATATTCTCATAGTGAAACACCAAGCTTCGAGTATACATTTTTAAAACTTTAATATGTTCAAATTTTAAACTTTTAAACTAATTTTATTTACTATACTCTTATATTTAAACTAATTTCATTTTACATTTAAAGTAAATCTTAACTTATAA